AAAAAAAAAAAAAAAAAAAAAAAAAAAAAAAAAAAAACTGGCAAACAATAAACAGAGATCATCATACACAAAGAAGGTTCTGGTGTCACATAGGACACTAAAGCAGGCAGCCTTGTTTTTTTCCTATGGTACCTGAGGTGGGATCCAGGCCTTGTACAAGCTAGGCCAAGCACTCTGCCACTGAACCACACTCCCACCTCAACCTGCTGGATGCTTAAACACAGATCCACATGAGACACAGGGCCCCACCCTTCTGACCTCATCTCACCCAGATGCCCATCCCAACAGGACTTCTTGGCACAGGAATTTGAAGGAGAAAGGGCCACAGTTTAATCCCCATTGTCTTGGGCAGAGGGCTGTAGCCAGAGCAGAAGCCCTAAGGCTGGGTTCCACCTGTTGTGTCTGAGGAACAAGAGGACAGAGATTGGGAGTGAAGCTCAGTTGTAGAGCTCCTGCCTAGAATACCCCAGTGATGGGCTGGAAGTGTGACTCAGTGGTGGGTGCTGACCTAGCCTGTGCAATGCCCTGGGTCCCATCCCCAACACTGCAGAGTTACACTAGTGCAAGCAGACTGGTGTGACCAGGGCAGAGTGAGGGGAGTGTGGACTCGAGGACAGTGGTGAGGATTCTGTTAAGGCAGCACTGGCCTATGGAGATAGCTCCTGAGTAGAGTACATGGTTAGTACACACCAGGTTCGTCCCAAGCCTTTCAAAACAGAGAAAATAGCATCTTAGAGCTGCCTCTTCACAGAAGCATTGCCTGTTCCCTGCCATACACACGAGGTCCTGTGTGGAGGATTGTTGTAGCAGGTCATTCAGCTCCATTTATGCTGGTGTTCCAACTGTGGCCTCTATTACTCCTTCCACCCAGGAGACACCAAGTGGCTGCATGCAGTCCTGGGCTCCGTCCAGCAAAACATCCACTCTCCAGCCCTGCTCTTCAAGTTGGCACAGGATGCCTGCAAGACAGCCACACCAGCCAGCGCGCCACCAGACACCATGCTGCTGGGCATCGCACTGGAGCTTGGGCTGCAGGTACTCCAGCTAACATCACCAGAAAATGAGTGGGAACCCTGCTCCTGGGGCAAAGGCTGACACAGGAGTCACACCTCTGAGGGTGGAGTTATAGACCAAACTTGAGTGACGGATATCACTCTAGGTTTGAGGCTCATCTCCAGGACTGTGGTTAAAGACGGAGAGGGCCCAGGTGGGCAGGGCAGGGTCTGCAGGCCAGGGGATGGACCCAGGAGGGGACAGAAGAGGACCAGAGAGTGCTGCTAGAATGCTTGCCTAATGTTCTGGGTTTCAGCCTCAGCACCACATAAGCCAGGTGTGTTGGTGCATACCTGTAATTCTAGCATTCGGGAGGTATAGACAGGATCAGAAGTTCAGGATCAACCCTGGCTATGTAGAGAGTTGGAGGCCTGGAGGTATTATTTGAGATCCTGTCTCAAATAAACCCATAAAAATCAAAACATGAACACAGACCAGGTGCTGGGGTGTGACTCCACAGGGCTATAGTGGGTTTTACTATGTCCTGTATTCCATCCCCAGTATAAAAACATTTTAATCAGAAAAGAAAGAAATAGATCCTGAGGTTGCCTCTTGGTGCTTTTGGTTAAAATAAAAACCATGAGCCGGGCAGTGGTGGTGCGTGCCTTTAATCCCAGCATTCAGGGAGGCAGAGGATCTCTGAGTTCAAGGCCAGCCTGGTCTACAGAGTGAGTGCCAGGACAGCCAAAGACACACAGAGAAAGTATCGAAAGAAAGAAAAAGAGAGAGAAAGAGAAAGAAAGACCACGAGGCTAGAGAGATGTCTCAACAGTAAACTGATTGCTCTTCCAAAAGACCCATGTCTGCTTCCCAAGACATGCATGGCTGTCTATAACAGTCTATAACTCCAGAGTCAGAGGTCTGACACCCTTTTCTGGCCTCTGCTGTCACTACACAGACATGGACAGACTAAATAAAACGAAGACCATGAATAGGGCAGAGTCAGCCAATAAGGAACACCCTTGGGAGTGAGTGATGTATACAGAGTAATGTTAGCTGGGGGTTTGCAGCTTCAAAGAGGGACTTTCCTGGGGTTGAGCTCTGTCAGCCAGGCCTCTAGCTGAATATCACTGTCCTGCCATGGCAAGGACCAGGCCAGCCTGCGTGCAGCCCATGGGTGAGTAACCAGTAGAGGACATGGATATCTGGGCCTTAGGGTACCTAGAAACTGAAGGGCTAGACAGGTATGAGCCTGGTTATGGGGCCCCAGATAGTTGCAGGGACGGAGTATGTGAAAAACAGCTTCGTGTGGTGACACACACCTTCCATCCTAGACAGAACGGGAGGATCTGAGTTTGCAGACAGTTGGACCACAGACCCAACCTCAAAAACAATCAGACAAACCAAAGAACCTAAGAGTGGTTCTCAAGGTAGCTCAGTCAATAAAGTGCTTGTTTGGAAAATTAGGTCCCCAGAACCAAGAAAAAAATGTAAAAAAGCTATAATCAGCTGGATATAGTAACGCACACCTTTGACCCCAGCACTGGGAGGAGAGGCGGGCGGATCTCTATGAGTTCAGGGCTAGCCTGGTCTACAGAATGAGTTCCAGGACAGCCAGTGTTCTTACACAGAGAAACCGTGTATAGAAGGAAGGAGGGAGGGAGGGAGGGAGGGAGGGAGGGAGGGAGGGCGGGGGGGGGGGCGGGGGG